CAAATAATGCAATATATGTTAAAAAAAAAGAAGAAGAAGAAGATAGCAGGAGGGGAAGAAAGAAGGGGGGAAATCAGAGGGGGAAGTGAACCATGAGAGACGATGGACTCTGAAAAACACACTGAGGGTTCTGGGGGGGCGGGGGATGGGTTAGCCTGGTGATGGGTATTAAGGAGGACACGTTCTGCGTGGGGCACTGGGTGTTATGCACAAACAATGAATCATGGAACACTACATCAAGAACTAATGATGTGATGTATGGTGATTAACATAATAAAAAAAATTTTTTTTAAGTTTTTTAAAAATCATAAAAAATAAATAAATACAATCTTAAAAAAAAAAAAAAGGACTGATCATTGAAGCCTTGGCATGTGGCTATAGAAGCTTATTTTCTCCAGACTCGGTATCTTTCCACCCTCCAAAGAAAGACAAAAACTAGGAAAAAAAGAAAAAAGATCATCCCTGTGGTTCCTATTTCCTGATGATGAAGAACAGGGGTTTTATGGGCTGTATCATATGCACATAACTCCAGATGGCATCAAAGAAAGTTCTACACAGCTAGAAGTTGAGGGTTGGTGACTGTGAGTTCTGGGAGCACTGGAAGGGGCCTGGTGACATTGGGACATCCTGGGCCACGTTTCCATTCTGCTTCGAGCTCTTTCCTTCCTGTCAACCAAGATTGTTGAATTTGTTTCTGAATTTAGGGGAGGAATCCTGGACGGAACATATAGGAAACAGTTTTTAAAGCTGTAGATCCTTCTGACATTAGGATTAGTGGTGATACTGCCAGGAAAAAAAAATAAAATAAATGCTGATGTTGGATCTTGCCAAAAATCTTGTCAAGAGTGTGGATTGTCTCACACAGAACGGAGATGTGGCTTTTGATTCTGGTGGCGTATTTGTTCCAAAGAAATGTGAATTCAGGATGTATGCCAACTAAAGCTGCGGATCCGGAAGCATTCATGAATATTGTAAGTTGGGATTTTTCTGTGTTTGGGGGGAAATGAAGTGGTTCACATGCTAACTTGTGCATCTGTGCATTATCTGCATTATATATTATATTTCTATGTGGTGGTGATTTTTGCTAGCAGAGCATAGTTATAAATAAGCATGTTGTACTGGGAAGAATGCTAACCTCGGTCTGTGTCAACCTTTGTCCTCCTTGAACAGATTCAGTAAACTCAGGTGAATGACTTAATCCCTTTGCCCCAAGCACAAGGTAACTTTTCCTTGGATTCTTCGGTTCGTTCTACGAGCAGAGACATCATCGTGGCATCTTGAGCCACACCCAGACCCTTGGCAATTCCACTTTAGCTATGATTTTTATTCCTTTTTGACTTGCTCAGTCCTCCCTTCCTACTGTCAGGACGCCGGCTTCTAGTAGCTTCTGTTCTCCATACCCTCTTTTAGACTGGGACCTCAGTTGACTGGCCTTGGTAAAATCTAGAGGGCCTCATGTACGTAAGGCTCATGAATGATGTGGCATCTTTCTAGGTATCCCAGTGCTGGGCTTACTTTCAGGTTCTGGGTTGAGTTTAGGAATGCCCACCACGTAGTTATACTTACCACTTGGCAGACACGGTGATCGAAAGTTGTCAAGGTATGGCTCAGTGGATGGGATCAGCCCCATTTTTCAAATCAAGGACCTGAGAATAAGGGGCTATTGGCAACTTAAGTTAGGCCATGCCATTTCAGAGAGCAGAGCTGCAATTTAGATCCGGGCCTGCCTGGACACAAAGCTCATAATTGTAACCAACGTGCAATCAACCCTCCCAGGTGAGGAGAGGCTCCTGCCAGCTCACCGGCCCTGGGAAGATCCCACACACATTCCTCTGAGTTATTGCATGGAGGCGATGTCTTCGGCTATAGGCAGAACCGGTCTCCCTGAACCTCACCCACTGGGTGTGTCCAGCACTCGGCGCTGTTGGGTCTTCGGGAACCCTAATACCAAAACCCATTAAATTGGACTCTGCCATTGAGTGTTTATGCCTGGAGAAGCAAAGTAAAATAGGAAATCCATATAATTACTGGGATACATTCGATGAGGTAGAACACGAGTGGTTCAGAGCCTGGATGGGTTTGATTCTGTAGATGGATTTATATGGATATAATCTATCCTATATTTTGGGATACCACTGGCTTCTTGCTTGTTTCTTTCTAGCTAGTGTTAATTGAGCACCTAACAGGCCCTTGATACTGCACTAGTCAGTGAGATTCCAGAGAGATCTACGAATACCGAAAGACCCCAGTTCATGGAACTTAGGGTCCAGCAGGGAAAATAGACCCTCAGTTACTAATTACGAAAGCAGTGAAATCGAGGAAGAAAATGTAGACAAGGGGGACATAATCCAGGGAATTCAGGGAAGTTTTTCTGGAAAAAGATCTCTTAAGCTGAAGTCTGCAAATAAATAAGAGTTACTTGAGAAGTTGGGGGTGATTTTTAATTCTAGTAGTCACTGATGCTCACCGAATGCCTACTACATTCCAGGTAACCGAGTGAGTATTATATATGTGCATTGTGTCTTCACATTCCTTGCCAGAACCCCATGGAGTAAAGACCATTGGTACACGTGACTTGCAGATGAGTGAGTTGAGGAACAGGGACAGGTTAACTATTTTCCCAAGATCACATAGCTAGTTTGTGTTAGAACCAGGATTAAAACGCAGGCAGGGAGACCTCGGGGCCTTTCTCTTAACTACTATGCCCCTTTTCCCTTGCTCTACACTGGGCATTTCACCCCTGGCTTTCTCCTCTCTCGGTCCTGTTAAAGCTGAGAGAAATGATTCCCTCCTCGGGGTGATGAGGGTGGGTGGAAATAGGGAGGCTACTGAAGAGATTTCCGAAGCTTCATATTTTACAAAGAGTTTCCACATGTAATGACTGTATAGAGTAGAGGTCCTTAAACAGGGATCCATAAATAGGCAAGCAGGAATCAGGAACCCCTGAGAGTAAATATAAAAAATGTGTCTGTGTGTCCATGTGCATGTTCATTTTTAAGGTTCTCCTCAAATTCCCTGAGGGATCCCTGACCTAAACATGTTAAGAGCTACTGCTCTTGAATCTGTGATTCTCAGAGATGAAGAGAATCGTAGGGAACGCGTGGTCTGAAGGTTCTCATAAGCTGTCCTAGGAAGAACGCCTCATTGGGTGCATTACAATTACCTGGCCCCTAACCTGAAGTGAGCCCAGGAATCTGTAGGTTTAAGTGCCCCCAGATAATTCTGGCATGCACCCAGGCTTTGGAATCAGTCTTCCGGTCTAGTGGTCCTTAAACAATACAGTGAATCAGAATTTCCAAAGGAGCTTATTAAAACACAGATTGCTGGGCCCCATCCTCAGAGTTCCCAATTCAATCAGTTTGGGTGGAAACTGATCATTTGTATCTCTAGCAAGGGCCCAAGTGATGCTGAACCTTTTGGTCCAGGGCCCACACTTTGAGAACCATTGTTCTAGTCCAGTCTCCACATTAAAGGCAAAGAAAATGAGTACTAGAGAGGGCTGGCTAGTTTTTCTAAGATAACATGAGTAACTAGGGAAAACGTGGGACCCCTGTCTATAACTTCCAGAGTCAAGGAATCTACCTGTTACTTTTGGATCATTGAGAGTATAGCCATACGGAACTGAACTCAAAAGACACTGCCTTTTCCTTAGAGCGAAATCATCCGACATCAAGGCTACCCTTGTGAAGAGTATGAGGTTGTGACAGAAGATGGGTACATCCTTTCAGTTAACAGAATTCCTCAAGGCCCAGCGCAACTTAAGAAAACAGGTATGGTTCACCCCCATGCCACCCCAACATGGCAGCCTTCTCTATAGTAATGATTTCCTTGTGGTTTGAGTGTGTAGAGGGGAGTCTGGGTTCTTGTTATAGACTGGGGCCCATTGTTTGAGCCAAAAATAGCTTCACTCCCCCTTCCTCCCCATCAACACCACACCATTTACCCCAAATATCCGGAATGATCTCAAAGAAACATCGCGTTTGCTTTAAAACAAAAAAAGACCTTCAAGAAAGGCCCATTTCTTGACCCTTTCTAGCACTTAACCCATTCCCCAAACCCCTCTTAGATAGATATTCTAGAATATCCACTGATGGTCTCTTGAATAGACCATATCAACCCCTGCTCATGAAGAAGGCAAACTCCAGTATGGCACCTGGAGCCTACCCCTGCGTACTCTGTATTCCCCGTCCATATAGCACTTTAAGTATTTGAGATGTTGCTCAGCTTTTCACTGAAGTTTTTTAAGAATCAGGAAATAGATGTACATTTTTAATTTTGTGATACATTTCTTCAATTCATACAATCCCATTTTTTGTATATGGGATTTTCAGCTATTGCTGGTTTTTAAAAAATATTCACATTCATTACCAATGAAAGTGTTCTGTATTCCTTTGAATACTCTAGCTCTACATTTATAGCAGCAACTACAGTATTTGTCATGAGTACAGATAATAAAATTTTATACTGTGTTCTTTCTAAAAGCCAGCTCTGATAGCTTGTGCTTTATTTGCATTAGTTTCTCTTAACTTCCACAATAATCTGAAGAAACTGCCACTCACAGAGGTTAAGTAACTTGTCCAGAAGGTCTATGCTAGCACTTGCCAGAATATTGCAAAACCCGCAGTCAAATCAAGACCTGTCTGCCACTGTAGCCCATGTTCTCAACTAGGACCAGAGACTGCTGGGCAAATGCTATCATCTTTGGCATAAGCAAACTTCAGGGTTCTATTTTATTCCAATTTACACGTGTGCAGCTTTTTGAAGACCAGCTTTTTTTTTTTTTTTTTTACCAGCTGCATAGCTGTCCCTTCTGTATGTCCAGCATGCTCCAACCTCAGTGCGTTTGAAGCAGCTCCTTGTCACCTAGTAGAGTCTGGCCCCTTATCCTGCTTACATTCCCTGCAGCACTTACTACCTGGTAGGATAGATAATATAATTTGCTGGTTTATTATCTGTCTCCCCCAACCGGAATGTAAACTCACTGGGAGCTGGGACTTTAATTTGTTGAAGGCTATACAGCCAGTGCCTAAAAAAACACCACGCACATTCTAGGTGCTAATAAATACGTGCGGAATGAACAAATGAATGAACAAATGAACGAATGAATGAATGAATTTTATACACATAAACAGAGAGCCTGGAGACGCAGAGAGAACTCTTCAGTGAGCCCCACAAATCCTAGGAGGTAAGCAAGGCACAGCTCTCCCAAGCCATCGAGTGACTGTGGTGGTGCCTGAGCTCACAGGTCACCTGCACCCCTATTCATGGATAGAGTTTCCATTCTCACATCCTGTTCACTTACACCGTTCACTTATCACCCCAGAGTTTGGGAGTTCAGGGTATCCATCCATCTGCCCTTTTGGTCCAGTTGGTGCAGAATACTCCCCTCTAGTGGCCAGCTCCTGCTGCCTCTGCAAGGACCCAGTAAGTTGGGTCGTATACCCTTCACTATAAAGAAGGATGTTCTCTTCTATCATCACAACACATTTAGCAAGAGTAGAAATTAACATTGATTGATATTAGTATCTACTGCACAGCCCATATTCAAATGTTTTCGGTTATACAAGTCCTTTGTGTTTGCTTTTCTTCCTGGTCGGTAGTCTCATCCACGGTCATATGCCACATTTAGTCTTCATGACTTTTTGTCTCCTTTATGAACTGAAACAATTTCTCAAGTTTTGCCTCTTTCGACCTCTACATTTTTAAAGAGTTTGGGGGCAGTTATTTTATAGAACGCTCTTCAATTTTGTTTGTCTGATGCTTCTCCATGATGTGATTCAGGTTATACATTTTGGCCCGAATACGGCAGAAGTGAAGTTGTGTCCTCAGCATGTCACATCATGAAGCACATGATAATGGCTTATTCCAGTATTGGTGATATTCACTTTATTTAAAAAAAATTCTTTTCATCTCAGCAAATAAAATAGTATATATTTAAAGTGTACAATGTGGGGCACCTGGACGGCTCAGTTGGTTAAGCGTCTGACTCTTGATTTTGGCTCAGGTCATGATCTCAGGGTCACGAGCAATCATGGGTCCCTGAGACCCTGACCTGAGATCACGACCTGAGCTGAAATCAAGAGTCAGACACTTAACCAACTGAGCCACCCAGGCGCCCCTAGACTCACTCATCCTTAATTTATTCACTGGGATACGATTTATAGCTATCATTACTTATTTTGAGTCTCAAATTTTCCCATATTTGGGCAGTGGGAGCTCCTTCAAGCTGGCTTGTGAATCTTTTTGACATGAAGGGCCTGTAATCATTAAACGATTATACATTATGGTATATATATATATATATATATATATATATATACGTTCATTATCTATACATTTATAATTACGTAATATTTAATTATATTTATAATCACATAATTACCTTAATAATTAGACTATACTATGTCCTGGGCATTTCCAATATCCTCAGTGGTGCCCAGACACACCAAGTGAGAGTAAGAACTACAGGAAGACAACAATGGAAGCCAAACTCTACTGATTCTTTCTCTATGCCAGGCATTGTTGCTGTCTGTTCCCTGTGCACTATATTATTTAGTTGTAACAAAAACCCTGTTTTTCTGATGAGGAAATCAAGACACAGACAGGTTAAGTGACCTACTAATATAATCGATCTAACAAGCAGCTAAATCAAAATTTGAACACGGGTCTGTTGAGCTTGAAAGCGCTTGCACACTAGAGGGTAACAAGAAAGGTGGAGAACATGTCTCATGGCTGAAATTCTCTTGCACGTAGGTCCGAGGCCAGTGGTATTACTGCAGCATGGCCTGAATGGGGACGCCAGCCACTGGATCTTCAACCTGCCCAACAGCAGCCTGGGCTTCATTCTGGCAGACGCCGGTTTTGACGTGTGGCTGGGGAATAGCAGGGGGAACACCTGGTCTCGTAAACACAAGACCCTCTCCGTAGACCAAGATGAGTTCTGGGCTTTCAGGTATACTGAGTGGAGGCAGACACAGATGTCTTTGGGAGAACCCGGTAAAGAATGTGGCTCCTAGCATTTGGATGATTTACTTTGGTTGGGTCATCAATATCCTACCAAGATAGACCCAATTGTTTTAATTTGGGGAAGCAGAGGGAGGGACTGGGTTTCCCTAATAGGAGAATGGGTCTGGCTAATAGGGTGAGATGGTGGTTTGTGTCAGGTGGTTGAGAGAAGGTGTAGGTCCACGTCCTTGCAGATGTGTACCCTGGGGCTAACTGCCCCCCCGAGTAATGACAAGAACAGGCACCCCCAGAAAGAGATGAGATCAGGCAACATTAGAGATATTGGGGAAACTATTAAGCCTTAGGGACCATCAGTTTGGCTAATACATATCTCACGGTCTTACAAAAGGTTTTTAATGTTTTTATGTAAATTACCTATTGGCATTCAACCTGCTCTTCATCCATGTCATCGGACAAGGGCCCCTGCGGCATTTATAATCCTTTCTGTACAAATGAATCTGTATAGCCAGGTGCTGCTTTGCTAACTATATAGCAGGACACCTTCACCAGGCAGTAGATCATGTGCTCAGTAAATATTCCTTGAAGATGATTATCACTCTGTGATACTATCTGGAGAAACAGCGGGGTACAAATAGTGCAAATAGTCTGTGAGCCCAGGGGCCCCCATGTGTCACGGGTGGGAAACAAGTCCATCCTGAGGGTCTCGAGGGGCACGCTCACAAGCTGGTGGGACTGACGACTCAGGAGCTTGTTTGCAAACCCCAGGGGCTGCTTTCACTGTTTCTGATTCTAATTTTTCATGTAACTTTGTCTTTCCCCCCCCGCTTATAGTTATGATGAGATGGCTAGGTTTGACCTTCCTGCAGTCATAAACTTTATTTTGCACAAAACCGGCCAGGAAAAGATCTACTATGTCGGCTATTCACAGGGCACCACCATGGGTAAGTTCGATGGGGGCGGGTTTGTAGAGTCAGGGATGTGGGCATATGGTGCTCGGCGGTGCCTGGGGTCTGGCACCCGACCTTCTCTCAGCTCTGGCCCTGACCTCTTCAGTGACTCTGAGGGCTACGGAAGTCAGGGACGAAAGGAGCAGAAGGAGCAAGGGCTCTGGAGGCAGACAGATGTGGGATTAGATCATATGTGGCTCTACCACCTCTTGGGTGAATGTCCTTGGGTGAATTGTCCAACCCCTGTCATCTCAGTTCCCTCATCTACAAAATGAAGATAGTAACTCCCTCATAGGGGAGTTAGAGGTGTTCGAACTACTCAGGGACAATGTGGATCAGCTCTGTGAAGGCAGGGGTTTCGTCTAAGACACAAGTCTAAGAGAAGTTTCTGGCACAAAGTGCGCACTCAATTCCATAAGCAGTAAGCATGGTGGTCACATTACAGACAGGACGGCTGGCGGATTTCATTCAGGTCTTGTTCCTTCCCTTCTACGGCCAATGTCTGGAATTTCGTGCTGTTGTCCTTTTGCTTTTGGTGAATTTGTGGGAAACCTTAACTCACAGCCCCTGTAGGATACAGGTCATCACTGGGGAGACGGGAGTGGAGGCTGTGTCCTCTGGCTCTCTCTCAGACCAAAGGCAGTAGGAAAAGTGTTTGGCTTAGACCAGGACAAGGAAGGGCACAGTGTGTGTCATGGGGAGAAGGTTCTCCCTGGGAAGGCTGAGAGCACTCTTTACCTTCACCCTGAGCCGAACCCATAGGGGAAGGCCAGGGTAGGGGATGCTAAGGAGACAGGTGAGCACACCCCCCTGGAACTCAGGGCAGGAGTTCAGTGGGTTTATTTTTATCTGGTGCTTTCTGGCGAATGAAAAGAGTCTGACTTTCATATTTTCCTCTCTGGATTTTCCAACAACATTAACTGGCTCTGGGGATGCCACGTCTCACCACACACTTGACAGAGAGCAAGCTGGGGTGTTAATCCCCACGCTTGCTCTAATGGCTAGAGGCCTCTGAGAGTTTCTTGGCTCTACGCTCAAATTGTCCAGCTTGACATTAAGATAAAGGTGCTGATGATGAGGCCAAATGCTATTTCAAGAAGAAAAAGGGGGCAAAAAAGCATGGGGTTCTTCTAGTTGTCAACCATGAAGCTCTTTAGATGGAGAACCTGTACTAACTTTGCATAAAGAGAAAGAATCGCCGGGAGAAGTTAGCGAGGATTCTCAAACTTGACATTTGAGAGGAGTTCTAATAGGGTCACAATCCAGCTGGAATAGAGTTTAATGGAGTTCCCACCCAATCCTACTGATGGTACACCTGGGAGAGCAAGAGGAACAAGTCACTCTTGGGCCTGCCTTTGCATGGGGCTAGCTAGCTTAATCATGTGGAGGGAAAAGTTGATAAGGATGCATTCTTCATGAATACTCACTCACCCCCAGGAACCGGGGGGAGGGGGGGCGCGGCAGGGGAGGGAGTCACGTGATACCAGTCTTCCTCTGCCCCACTCGCCTCCCACTCAAGTTGCAGATACCGGCCTAGCTAGGGAGTGCACAGATGCAGAGTATTTCAAATACAGTGACCACGCCCTGGCTTTAAATGATAACCTTTTTTCTCGCCAAGTCTCCACAGGGATGGTCCCTACCTGGTGATAATTCAGAGACTTTCATAGGCTTAGAAACTGGGGCACAGACTGATTTAGCCAGGGCCCCAGACCTGATCTATGACAAAAATAACAGTTAGGATCCAGTTCAGTAGACAACTTGTTTTTGAGATCATGTTACAGTTTGGGTTCCAGGAAAGGTAGGAATCAATGAGACCAGCAGAAACCCTGCTATCCCAACACTCATTTTATTACAGAACCTGCTTGTTACTGATCAACAGGGCAATTTCTCTAGTTCTAAGTTCCGTTCACTGTAAAGTAGAGATCTGTTAAAAACACCTCACAAGAGTCTGCGAATTCAATGAGATAAGAACCACAAAAGTGCCCTGAAAAGTGTCTGGCACATAGTTATTCTCTGTATATATATTTTCTCAAAGTCCATACTATTGGACTCAATAGTTTAATTCAATAATGCAATGAGAAACTACTAGCTGGAAAAGATATGCCAGGTGTCGTAGGGAACACCGAGGTGTGTTGGCTACTGGTGTTTTCTTCTTCAAGGAGCTTATACTTTCCTAGGACAGTTAAGACCCAATTACACATAGTTACTGAAATAACCTGATAAAAGTGCAATCACAGCTTTGGGTTCTGGGATAGGCAATATCCACACTGACCTATCTCTTCTCTTGTAGGCTTTGTTGCTTTTTCCACCATGCCAGAACTGGCTCAGAAAATCAAAATGTATTTTGCTTTAGCGCCCATAGCCACTATTAAACATGCAACAAGCCCTGGTACCAAATTTTTGTTGCTGCCGGATATGATGATCAAGGTATGTGGCTCCTCAGATAATTCCTTATCTGCGTAGACGAGTCCTCCAACCCAATTTGCTAAGACATACAGACAGCCCCGACATACAATAGCTCAACTTCACGATCTTTCGACTTTGTGATGGTGCACAGGCGATACGCAATCAGTAGAAACCACACTCTGAATTTTAAATGTTGATCTTTTCCTGGCCTAGTGATATTTGAGACAAACCTCTCTTGCGATGCTGGGCAGCCGCCAGAGCTCCCAGGTTTTGATTTACAATATTTTCAACTTATGATGGGCTCCGTTATAAGTTTTGGAAGATCTGTATGCCTTTAAATTAGACTCACTTCTTTTCGACTCTGATGTAATGACTACAATTCCATGTCATATTTTTACAGGGACTGTTTGGCAGAAAAGAATTTCTGTACCAGACCAGATTCTTCAGACAGTTTGCTATTTACCTGTGTGGTCAGATGATTATGGATCAGATTTGTAGCAACTTCTTGTTTCTTATGGGAGGATTTAATACAAACAATATGAACATGGTAAGTGGGAGCCTAGTCAATTCTTAGTTTTCCAAAGCAAAGCGAGGAGTGAGTCTCACCTCCTGAGAGGGAGCTAATGCCAGGGGAGACTTATTCCGTTTTCTTCAAATCATACTAACATGCAGAAAATACTTCAACACAGTCTGAGTCAAGGTTGACATAAGGGCATCTCTGGACACTGACGTCATAGACCGGGAGGCGGAGAAGGGTGTGCACAACGATTTGGGGTAATACCCTTAGGATGACACCAGGGAAGGGAAGGAAGCAGGATTTGGTAGATTGAAAACATCAAGCCGTGATGCAATCTCTGTGGGAATCTCAGTTGATGTGAAGATGGGGATACCCTTCTAAGCTGTCCTAAGTTACAGAGAGAGGGTTGGTCTTTATACTCACAGCTCAACCTGTCATCTGTTACAGATGTCGCCAGGGGAGACGCTGGGCAGGGCAGCTTTCTGCACCTGGGGTGGCCCCCCCAAGGAAGCCTGACAGTGGGGTGCTGTCTGCCAGCAGCACCTCCAGAAGCTGGAGGAATATATCTTTCACTTCTGAAGATTTTTTTCCTTTTTTCTTAACAAAATGATTAATCGCTACCACTTGATACACACTTATTATGTACCCGGCTAAGTGATTCCCTGTAACAATCCTATAAGACAGGTATGATCAATAGCCTCCTTTTACAGACTACTGTCCTGAGATTTAAGGCTTTCAATAACTCCCAAATCGACCTAAAAATTGAATGGCAGAGGTAGGATTTGAATACAGACCCAATTCTAGAGCCCTCATCCTTAATTATTCTGGTAAAGTTTTTTAAAAGAAGAAGTCAGATGTCTAAAGGGAAGCTCTTCTCAGATGAAAAAATACAGGTGCCCGGGGATACACTTAGTGGCATTTTTTATTTATTGTGTGTGTGTATATTACTGATGTGTGAATAATTGCTGATAACTTGATGATATTCCCATTTCTCAATCTGACACCCTGGAGATGTGGTCTTGACAAGATGCATGTCTTGTGAGTTTTCCATGCCCCACAAACCACTCGTGTTTTGTTACAGAGCCGAGCAAATGTGTATGTCGCTCACATTCTGGGCGGGACGTCCGTGCAAAATATCCTACACTGGAGCCAGGTAGGTATGCTAACTCTGTTGTCTTTGCCAAGGGTCTCTGTGTATTTTGTCTGGAGCAGTCAAAGGATGTCCTTTTGACAGCCCAGGTGTTATTTCACATTTATTCCAAGATGGACAATGATCTTGGCAATGCTGTTTTGACCGTGAATTTGATCCAGAACACTGAATCTTTTCAGGAGATGGTGGTGGGGGGAGCGTTGGCCTAAGGAATCTTTAGTGGGCCTTAAGAGTGTGACTTCAGATGAGGCTGGAGATCATGTTTCCATTCTCCTTTTCGGCTCCTCCAGCACAATGGTCAAGTGGTAATAAAAATGCGAAGAAGGCAGGACCTAATTCACAGGAGTCCTTTGTGCCGCAGATTTCACCTGCAATCACAGAAGGGACTGTCCCGATCACCAGTCACAGGAACTGTCTCTAGGGGCAGTGGGGCAGATCTCGGATCATCCAGAACTCATTCAAGGACAGTGTGGATGCTAATTATTGCCTCACCTATAAAGAGAGACTGCACCTAATATTGCTCATTATAGATGATACGGAAGAGTGGTTGATTTGCTGTGGAAATAAGGATGGAGATAAAGACAGAGAGCTAGATCATAGTTAACCGTAGATTCTCAACTGCTACAACCACAGCCTCGTTGAGAAAAAAATGGAGGGCTCCTAATTCAAACAAAAAGTTTTAAGCATACTGAGGGTGACCTTTACAAATCATAAATATCGGTTCTATCTGTTTCTCTAAGGATTTAGAGCCTAAATTGTTCCTCTAAGGTCATGGCTCTATTTGTGTGTGTGTGAGTGTGTGTGCGTGTGTATGGGGAGCGAGACTTTACAGCCAAAAGGAAAGAAGAATTCTGAATGAGGTGAAATTTTGGTCACCTTCTCCCTGAATCACCACACGGCACGGCGCTAGGGGGCGCTCTCCCGCGGCAGCCTGCGGAGACAGCCACCTACACACAGACTACGTCGGGGATGCACTTCCTGGAGTTGTAGGACAAGGTGGCAAGTGCGTCTCCAGGGCATTTTCCTCCCCGAAGGGGCCTTACTCTTGCCCTTATGCTCTCTCGAAGATTATCCTAACACCGAGTGGATTTTTGCCCTCCAATTGGCTTTTGCCCTCCAATTGGCTTACGACTGCAAACTTGGGAGCACCTGCTCACCCCACCCTTATCCAGGGATGCATTTGAAAGCCATGTCAATTTGTTTCTTTTTAGGCAATGAATTCTGGGGAATTCCGGGCATTTGACTGGGGGAATGAGACCAAAAATCTGGAGAAAGGCAATCAGGTAAGAAAATCAAACACATCCTTTTTCAATAAATGGGAGGGAAGTTATAATGACAGTTTTTTTGTAGAGGCAGGAATCAAATCTGAGTTCGGGCTTGACTCCATTTGAAGAGAGAGAAGTTCACAGCTTCGCCAAGACGCTTCCTGCTTTCATAACGGAGTAGGAGAACTTTCCTGATGAGTCGGCCGCCATGAACAAGGCACTTGGGCTTCTAAGGAGCAAGATGGGGTAGATATGGTGAAGGGAAGAGTGTAGACTCTGGTGGTCACTAGAAGGATCCTCTTAGGGTCAAAAGATAAAAATAAAAAACAAAACCAGGGATGAAGATGGCAGGGACTAGTTTGCTTCACAGCACATAAGAGGGCCTTTAGTGGCAAGTGAGGGTTGCTTGTGCCTGCCTCGGTCCTACCACCTGTGGGGTCATGGATAGGCTGCTTTCATTCTGCAGACCCCAATGTCTTTATCTTTAAAAATTACTGGACTGGGGCGCCTGGGTGGTTCAGTCGGTTAAGCGTCCGACTCTTGATCTCAGCTCAGGTCTTGATCTCAGGGTCATGAGTTCAAGCCCAGCATTGGGCTCCAAGCTGGGTGTGGAGCCTATTTAAAATAATAATAATTATTATTATTATTAGACTAGATAATCCTTAAGAGTTCTGCTGGTCACACTTTTAATGCATCTGTCATTTGCAAGGGAAAAATGTGAAAAGGTATTACATTATCTAAGAAAATGCACAGCCGCTGCCCTAGAATAAAATGAACAGTTGTGGAGAGTCAGAAGTGGGTGCTAAACTCTTCTGAGCATAAAATCCCCACTGAAGATTATTGGTTAGCTTGTATATGAATACAAACAAATACTGACCATACAAACATAAAGCCAGAGGGAGCCCGACAAACAGAGGCCAACCCCTGAGAGTCTTGGATCATATGTAACATCCACTCCAGTACATCAGTCTAGATATAAAAGCCTAGGAAGTCGGACAGACTGGGGAGTGCCCTGACCAACAAACTCTAGGTCACGGGCATCACCTACTTTTTATTAGGTCCTTCTTCAATGTTTCCTAATACATGTCTTTGGAGAAAACATTCCGGCTCCAAGATGGTTTTAATTTATCAGCATTAATGTTTTAAATTCTAGAGAAAGCAGCTCAGGCAACATAGGCCGCAGGAAAGAAAAAGAAAACACGCAGGCCAAAAAGGCATTCTAGAATCACAGCTCCTTAGAGTTAGACCTGAATTCAGTTCACCTGTAAAATGAGAAAAATACATGACTGGCGCCGTAGAATATTCCAACCTTTCCTATCTAAGTTAGACCATGAAAGGTGACTCTGATCACCAACTTCCTACGTGTGTGTGGGCACAGGGAGATTCCCCACCACCAACAGGCAGGTCTCCAGATCCCAGCCGGGTGTCCTATGATCTAACTCGATTCTGACACTATCTGGAGATAGCATCAGAGTAAGGGCTTGGTTCGCGAAGACTGCCCTCCAGTTCATATGCCAATCTCAAGCCCAGGTACTTCCTATGCTTCTGGACCCACTGGCTCTACTCAAAGATTCTAACAGCCCTCTCCTTGGGTTCTATTAATTTGCCAGATTGGCTCACAGAACTCAGAGAGACATTTTACTTACTAGATCATCCATTATTACAAAAGACTGTAACTCAGGAACAGCCAGAAGGAAGAGATGCAGAGGGAAGTGTATGGGTGAAGGTCAAGGAGCTTCCAGCCCTCTCCTAGCCAGCCGCTTTCCCCAAATCTCCACGTGTTCACCAGCCTGGAAGCTCCCCAACCTTGTTTAGGGTTTTTATGGGCTTCATCACATAGGCATGATTGATTCAATTGTTGGCCATTGGCGACTGAACTCAATCTCCAGCCCCCTCACCTCCCTGGAGGTCGGGGGCAGCACTTAAAGTTCCAACCCTCTAACCACAGGCTTGGCTCCACTGGCGACCAGACCCCATCCTTCAGTCAAGTCCAAAAGTCACCTCTTTAACTTAACAAAAGACACTTTATTGGCTCTTGTCACTGAGTAAGTTCCAAGGGTAAAGAGGAGGTCTGTGCCAGAAATGGGGATGAAGACCCATTTCTCCTTATTGTAAATCACAGTCTCAGGCTTGAACTCTAAATTCTTAGAAAGCCACAGAGTCAACCAAGACTCCTGGGTTGAAGCCTTGGCTCCACGGTGGATTTTCTGAGAAGAATCGGGGCTCAGCATTACTGTGGAGAGTTCTAGGTGCTTGATTAACCTCAGGGCTCAGCCAGCCAGTCTGATCTAGAAGCACTGCTTGAATAAGGGAGATCGTCAGTTCGGAATCCTAGATGCCTTTCTTCGGGTGATGGGGGACTGGAACAGGGGTCTAATTGTTACCCCACCCCACCCCACCCCCACCCCCCCGCTCAAATGACCCGAGTTCTAGGGCCTCTGGCTTCCCCAGGTTTTGAGCTTGGACTGCCTCAAGGCCTTTCTGTTCTCCCAGAAAGTCTCTGGGAAGACCCTCTACCTTTCTCAGGGGACTCCAATCTCTCGCCTTTCCCTCGAGAATCTCTCTCCCTCTGGCCTCATGAAATTTGTGAAATCAGCCTTGAAAAGGACAGGAACATTCTCTTCCAAAGGCAACGTATGTTTTAAATGTTTATTAATAGGGAGAAAAAGAATTGAAAATTTATGCTCAAGGTGGAAAGCCACTTACATGGTTGGTCACTTGGCCTCGTAAGTTGGTACAAGCGTCATCCCCATTTCCCAGATGAAGAAACTGAGGCTAACCGACTGTACCTTCAAGTAGGGGCTGAAGAGACAACTCTGGATGGGGTCCTGTTTGGCTGCGGTGCCCGTGCACTTTTCTTCACAACACATGACATATTTTGACTCTGTTGACTTGAAATATAAACCGTGAGTTTGGAAATCCAAATGTTACTGACAGTTAAAAATGATTCCTTTTTTCTAGCCAACTCCCGTAAGGTACAAGGTCAGAGATATGATGGTCCCCACCGCAGTGTGGACTGGGGGTCAGGACTGGCTTTCAAATCCAGAGGACGTGAAGACGCTGCTCTCCGAGGTGACCAATCTCATCTACCATAAGAACATTCCTGAGTGGGCACATGTGGATTTCATCTGGGGCTTGGATGCTCCTCACCGTATGTACAATGAGATCATACATCTGATGAAGCAGGAGGAGACCAGCTTCTCCCAGGGAAAGTGCGAGATCAGGCTGTGAAGCATCCGATACTGATGAGTCTTAGGATTTTTCACGATTTCCAGAAACTGGAAACCTCTCCTATCAGTAGAAGGGGGTGGGGAAGGGAGGGCAGAGATATAATACGCATTCCTTCAGAGTTCCTGTATTTGACACTAAAACGGACATTTAAATTTTTTTAGCTCATTAAAATACTCATTGGGTGAACATAGGTTTCCTGTGTTATATATTCTGCCATCCTGAAGGGCAACCAGGACTCTTTATATCATTCAGGTAGACCCCTTTACAATGTTAACTTTTTTTCTAGAAGCCATATTTTTGGAACAGTCAAGTAAAATGATGGATGGGGACAGCGACAGAGGTCTTGAATCTCTGGATTTGTTGTAACTACGACAAAATAAGCTAGACATTTTCACCTTATTGCCATAGAGACATCACGCTACCTCAGGAAGCTGAGCTGTTTTAGGAAAGAAAGAGAGAGAGAGAGAGATGGAAAGAGAACAGTATGGACGAAATACATTTTAAGCATCATTAAAAAGGGCCAAGTTTTATAGTTGAGTCTCAGAGGAAATAATTTGGTAAGATATTTAGTCACTTTTCCAGTAAGTACATTATGCCCTGCATGGAGCACGTCTATCTGTCAGTACCTAGTGCCAAGTCCAAGTTCATATGAGAGTTTACTGCCTGAGGCTACCAACGTCTGGCCCCGTTTTCCCCCTTCAAAAATTAAAAACTGGGAAAAAAGCTTTAGAAATTCATGAGCATAGTGACACAAACTGTCATGTATTCTGTCCCTTGATCTTGACAAGTACCCAAACTCATCCACAAATCTGGATTTATTTCTTTAGAAAAATGTTCACAGTTCACACAGTTTCCAAGATGACAGTTATAAGTTACGTGAGTGAGAGTGTAATTTTGCAAACCAGATTGAAGGTATACTGGTGCGTGAAGTTCGCTTCTTTATTCAATCCCCCAGAGTCACCTGCTAACTTCATTCAATGCAAATGTATCTTAAATAATTTAAGAGACACTTAAAGGCTTCAGAATCTATATATACACTCTACTACTTCCCTCACAAAACATGTACTGTAAGGTTCTGTACATAGTTCAATAAATACTCCTGGATTGGATTTTCATTAAACCCTTATTCTGTTCAAGGACGGTAAATCATTCTTTCTTAGACTGTTTATTTGTTACCACATATAGTGTGGCTTAGTCCATGTCTGAAGATATGATTGACTCAGTCTTGCTTTGCAAAATTCAACCATCTTTAAATGTGTTTATTTCTATTCTGTCTCATTGACAAAGGACTTGAGAAATATTATTTTGATATTCTCTCTCTCCTCTAGAAGTATAATCCAGATACCACCACGTCCTGTTGCTCTATTTCTTGTAAAGAAATCCTTTGTCTAGATGGATTCTAAAAACAAACTGAGGGTTCTAGAGGGGAGGTGGGTGGGGGGACGGGTTAGCCTGGTGATGGGTATTAAAGAGGGCACGTTCTGCGTGGAGCACTGGGTGTTGTGCACAAACAATGAATCATGGAACACTACATCAAGAGCTAATGATGTGATGTATGGTGATTAACATAACGTAATAAAAAAAAAGAAATCCTTTGTCTAATAATTAACAATACTATTTTAAATTTTACCAGTGAATATAAACAGAATGAACAACCTTAGCAGCTACCTTGCATTCACAAGAGAATCAGAAAGGTATTTTTGAACAAACATCTTGATTGTTTCATAATTTTGTTCAAAGTCAAAAGCAAAATGTCTAGAGGTCTGCTGGTTAAATTGGCTCTCTGGAGGGATGCGTGGGTGGCTCAGTAGGTTAAGTGTCTGCCTTCGGCTCAGGTCATGATCTCAGGGTCCTGGGATTGAGTCCCGCATGGGGCTCCTTGCTCAGTGGGGCATCTGCTTCTCCCTCTTCCTCTGCCCCTCCCTCTGGCTGTTCTCTCTCTCTCTCTCTCAAATAAATTAAAAAAAAAAAAAGAAATTGGCTCTCTGGAAAGAAAAAGAAAAAGAAAAAGCCCTGACTTGTAGCATTTGCTAATTACTGTGGCATAAATACTCCCTCCCCTGACGACTGATGGATGATTTTATTGACGTTGTTTCACCAAGTAAATATTTACATATGAAGCTCACCTCCCAACCCCCTAACATATCAGTCTATACAAATATGGATACTTTGAATCTTCTTCTTTCTATTCAAAAAGGACGGAGAGAAAGAGTTGTCTTCTGGGCATGATATCCACAGGACAGCCTCTTGTTAAGAGCCACACAGCTGAGAAAACCGAACCAGGTAACTCCGATCCTTTTCTTCGGAAGAGCCTGAATTTGAAACATCACCCTTTTTTGGACCAAAATGGAGGCTCCAAGAGCTTTAGTGTTTCTCCAAGAAGGATCGTGACCATGATGAACTCCAAAGAAAATTCTAAATACAAAGCTCTTCCAGAATGTTAACTATGGAAACCACCATTATGGTTACCAAAAAATCATAGCATCCAGGTTCAACGGTCCACAGACCAATTGTCCCAAAAAGAGATAGAATCCAGTCCTTTAACTTTTTCTACTTCTCCATGCAAGGCCACAAAGATTATGATGCTTTCCTTAGCATTAATTCAATCTGGGAAAACTTTAATCTCCGCACAATATCCAGGGAACTCTCACCACGCTGAGGAGAAAAAGAAACTAGAGTTATTTATCTCCGATACAGTCCAACATCAAAGCAAAAGGTCTATCAAAGAGTCCAGACTGACTGACTCACAGGCTTGGTAAGGGCTTTAAATGTCATTCGGCTCCCACAGTAATAGGATAACTTAATTGCTTAATGAGGACAATTAGTTTTGCTGTTAACAACATCAGAGGCAATTAATTCACTTCAATACAAAGTCGAAATCAGAAGATGCTGCTGCTGGAAGAGACTTGGGACAATGGCCCACAGATGCTTACCTTGTTCTTGATCATGGGGTCGGCACGAGCTTCCAGCAGCAGAGGAATGAGGGTCTGGTTTTTCATTTGGCAAGCGTAATGGAGGGCCGTGCAGCCATCCTGAAACAGAAGACAGACACTGCGGCTCATCGGCGGGCTCCACCGACCCTAGCAGGTGTCGCGTCACATCTCACAGCCTACAACTAAGCAAACCAGTCTGCAAACCATCTATGCACAACTACATTTCTCATACTTAACATGCCTTTCCTACCTCAACGTGCATATAATTCATGTCCTATAAGCCATTAAGATCTTCCTCTCTCATTTTGTGTTCCCAACTTAAACAACGCTACTGCCGAACTATCTCAGGGATTCTTGGTAGGATCCCATATGTCTGGGCAATGACCCCCTTGATCATCTTGCCATCTTTTCTCCTAATGGGGCCCCACATGGGCCTTTTTGCAAATATCATCCTCTGTGGTTGTTGGTTAAAATCCCCACAAGCTGAAGAAGGTGGCTTGTGCTCACACTGTTCTATCCTCAGTGAGAGGATCAGTGCAGCTCTATGGAGAAGCCTCCCATACGGGTTTGCTGGAGCTTGTATTCTGCGTTCTAAAATAGTGAATCTGCTCTGTTGGTACTAATTTAAAACACTAACTCCAAGTGATAAGAAATGTATAGCTAAGGTGTTGGTGCCCCCCAATTTTGTTTTTCAAAAAGCAGCCAAGCAACTGTGGCTTTAGTATGTGGACGAAATAATATCAGACCTTATTAACTCTTCTGAGACCATAGCAAATGATGTTGCGATTACTTATTTTTATTAAGTGGTGAGATGGTAAGTGGAAGATCTGGCTCTGAACGTTCCCATGTGAAATAAAGAGTCTAATTCCCTAAAAATACAATGCACCACATCACTTAAAGGTGGAAAAACGATCTGAATATTCAGTTTTAGAAAAATGGCAGGAAAAGTGTGTCTGCGTGCATATATGTGCACACGAGTGTGCACAGGAATGTAATCATCCAGCTATAGACACATTGAGAACGAGAAAGATATCCTAGAGCAATGTTGATCACAAAGTTCTCAACCTTTTGAATTTAAATGAGAAGATCAAGAAAAATCTTCAACAAATCTTTTACCTAATCTTTAATAACATCTTACTTAATACATTTCAAAGTTATCTATGGAAATGGTGGAGCACAGTAGTCATCTACTCCAATTAATCCAAAAATCCTATTTTAAATAAAAGGAAAAACATGCATTTCATAAACTTATTCTCTTGTGTTCTCCCCCCCCCCACACACACACATACACACATGCACACACAGGCACATGGAGCTACCTCCATCTAAACATACAATACCAATATCACCAAAACTAAGACGATGTAAATAATGAATAGAAACAGCGATGCACACATTTTCTCCATCACAAAACAAAACGGTAACACACACGCACGCACACAGATACACACAACATAAAATGAATTAGGGGCCACAAAGAAAATATTGGTTCTTTTCGACTGCAATTTCAACTTGCCTACTTTTTTGGTACTGACAGAATTGGGTAGCCAAAATTTCATCCAAGCAATAGAAGCAAATAAAAGTTCACACAAATAAACATTTGATCCATTTGGGATCATGTAAGCGAGGAAGAGGTGTGCAGGGGCGAAAGGTGAAAACAAAACCTGATATTTAGAAACAGGAAGAAGTTAGGGGCTGCTGCTCGGCGGTCACTGCCCTCAGCACCACCTGGGCTCTGTGACTTTGATCCTTACCGATCTAGTTTACAGATGGGGCCTCTCTTACAGGTGGGCTTGGAGCTTGGCTGCAGCGGCTGGTACTTGCTGAGCTTACTAAGCGCCGGGCACTCTGCTAAGTGCTTTACACGGTCAGCCTTGCAAGATAGGTGTTATCAACATCCTCACTTTACAGGTGAGAAAACCGGGAGTCCAGTAAGTTTATGCCTGGCCACAACACACACAGACAAAAAGTGACAGGCCTAGATTGACACATAGGCATTCGGCCTCCAGCGTCTTAACTATGGAGGATGGAAGTTTCTTGGCAGAGCCTTCATTTCTCATACCTCACTGCCTAGGGGGGGCGGTTCTTTAAAAAAAAAAAAAAAAAAAGTCCTGGGCGCCTGGGTGGCTCAGTTGGTTAGGCAACTGCCTTCGGCTCAGGTCATGGTCCTCGAGTCCCGGGATCGAGTCCCGCGTCGGGCTCCCTGCTCGGCAGGGAGTCTGCTTCTCCCTCTGACCCTCTTCCCTCTCGTGCTGTCTATCTCTCATTCTCTCTCTCTCAAATAAATAAATAAAATCTTAAAAAATAAATAAATAAATAAAATGTCCTCTCGCCAGTAAAGATTTTATTCCCTTGACTTTAGTGGCAGCGTCTAAACGACTTCAAGGTTGCCTGACTAGCAGTGAAAACGAAAAGAAAGAAAGACAATGGAATGTAAAGATAGCAAAGGAAAATGTAGAAGTGTCTAGGAAAATAAAGCAAGTAACTTTGTAGGTGACAAAGACATTGCCTGCAAAAACCATTTGGAATATTCTTTCAAAATGACTAAACACACAAACTTACACAGTCTTTGGCATTCACATCGACCCCGGCATTGAGCAACATTCGGACAAGAACTTCATTCTGCTTGGTCTTTGACACCTGTCACAAACAGCAAGTACAGAAGAGGTTCATTGACAAAATTGTTCTCCATCTTATGCCTAGACTATTCTGCTGAACAGGATTTATTTTAACCCCAACACATCTATATGTCTATGCACCTTTCTTAAAATTTCCCCCACCTCCCCGGCCCTCCAATATCAGTCAGGTGAAGCCTGGGTTCTCAGAGTGCCGTCCTGGGATAGCAGCATCAGCACCCGGGAAATTGGAAATATAAATTCGGGGGCCCCACGTTAGACCTCCCTTCTTTGCCTGGTAAATCCATCTTTAATATCCCAGCCCAAGACCCTCTTCCTCCAGGAGGCTTTCCCTGACCTACCCGGCTGGGTGAAATCTCTCTCTTCTGGGAGATCACCTCCCTGTATCACCTACTTCGTAGTAATTTTACATTCATTTCTGTGGTTATTTCATTAATGACCCATTCTGCACTACTCTCTAACACTCTCGAGGACAGGGACTACACCTGTTTGCTTCCGCATTGCATCCCTCCCACCCAGCAGTGTGTGCGCGGAGTGGGTCCACAGTATGTGCTGAATGAGCCAACGAAGGAACGAAATGAACAAGACTCCTCAGACATCCACGTTTCCTGCCCAGTCCCCTGAGATTCTGACCACAGGACGGTTTGAGCATCCACCCTACATCCCATTGCTTTAGGGAGCACAGCTCTCGAGGGGAACAGGTGGGCAAGTCCTGAAGGTCATCCCTTTCGCCTTGCAGGAAGCCCCACCCACTTTCTTTCTTTCTTTGTAATTCCCTCCCGCGTCAACGTGGAAACTGCCTGTCTCCTCCTACCTTTTTCTGAAGTAACACAGTCCTTTCTGGTCCCTTCCTCTAAAATGTTCTCTTACACCTTGTGCGTCACAAATGTGCAGTTTCCGGCCCCATGAATAAGTAGGATAAATTGCGCAATCAGAGGCGGTTATTCATTACCATCAGTATTTTGGCCAAAGCCTCCAGCTTTTAAACCTCCAACAGTCTTAGAAAGCAAGGTTGTGTGTCAACAAATTCTGAACGAGTCTTGCTCATCACCCTTGTGATCGTTTTGGAAATGAATGGTAGGTCCCTCGCCCACCCCAAAACTACAAATATACCAAAGCTCTGTACCAAATACGCAATTAATTTTCAAGAACTTTTCCAGGATAGAAGCAGATTATGTGTTTATCAGTGACTTGTGTTTTCTTTTTCCCAAAAATCCAAGCATCAAAATTGGCACGGTCATATTTAATTAGAGTTCCACAAATTCTGTGACATTTAAATGCCCAAGGAGGTAATTACACGTCCATCTGGCAGACTCTGTTCTGAAGCCTCTGGTAGCAAAAGTAACTAACGTGCACGGTCTATTTAGCTACAGAGAGAAAGGAGATGGGTCGTTTAATTGGATTAAGGACACATCTGCTGAGTCATCTCTCAATGATGGAACCGGACTCCAGGGAACAAGGTGGGGGAAAAGGGAATAAGTCAGTGCAAAGCTATCGCTCAATTTGAAAAAACAAAAATAACCAACTCAAGCTTCATCTTCTCATAAAATGAATGCATTCCTACACCAACTATATCTTTTGTTATTCAACTCTGTCAAGGTAAAAGGTTGGCTTTAAATTCTCTATAAAGATGTTCCGTGTTTCTCAACTTCTGGCTGCAAATCTCTTGGGATCTGTTTTTTTAACACGCAACAAGGGCAGGTCCAGAAAAATCAGAAACTCAAAAGATGTGTACAAAGACACAAGCTCTTTTGACCAAAAAGGAGAAAAGACATGGCAAGGGAATTTTTTTTTTTTAATATTCGGGATTTTCTGCTTTCTTTGGATGATTCTTAATCAAGATTAACTTATTTTTCTAAATAAACATGGCACAGATGATTTTACCACGGATTAATCTAGTTGGCTAGCTTTCTTCCCACTTTCCTGCAGTCCCAGCATTAAATGGATGTTGGAAATGTCTTTTTTTTTTTTTAGAAATAGTTACTTTATTTCTTTTTCTTATTCTTTTTTTGTTGTTGTTATGTTAGTCACAGACTAAGAACCAGGGGTTTATTTTGTTACTGTTTCTCTAAATCTGACTGGCCCAGCAAAACTTGATGAGTCATGCTGGTGATCTCCTCCCCGTTTACCCTTTGATCACACTGGTGTTACTCACCATGAGGAAATACCCAATAAGCAGAACGGGCATTAGGAGGATAATGAGTAGGTAATCAAAGAAGGTAAATTTTTTCTTCACAGCGTAATGCAAGCAGTTTCTGTCTTTCTGAAAATTAAGAAAACAAAATAGAGAAAATAAAGAAATTCTTTATTAATATTTATTTCAAATTTCATATTTTCAGATCACCATATCAAAAAGTTTCGTTTGTGGGGCGCCTGGCTGTTTCAGTTGGTAGACTTTTGATCTCAGGGTTGTGAGTTCAAGCCCCATGTTGGGCAGTAGAGCTTACTTTAAAAAAAAAAAAAAAAACTACATTATTTAAAAAAAAAAAGGTTACTTTGTGCTTTTTATTTTTATGGTACCCATGGCAACTCTTTCTGTGGAGTGTGTCTGATTAATAAGGCCACTTCTCCATTTGATGGGAATGTCAAACACAGTATAATCTAAAGATTCTCAGGGCGCCTGAGTGGCTCAGTCAGTTAGCAACCAACTCGGTTTCGGCTCAGGTCATGATCTCAGGGTTGTGGGATTGAGCCCCACGTGGGCTCCGCAGGAAGTCTGCTTGAGGTTCTCTCTCTCTCTCTCTCTCTCTCTCTCCCCTTCTGCCCCTCCCCCTCCCACGCACAGTCTCTCTCCAAAATCTATACATTAATATTTTTTTAAAAATAAGTTGGATTCTCACACGCATGTTAGTTTTTTGGGGAAAAAATACATTGAGATAGAAACACAGGACTGAATTCAGTGTGAAAAGCTATTGTTATCCCTGACTCATCTCTGGTATATGATTATTCATTTTGTGGTTTGTTTCTGGGAAAATCTTAACCATGTGGCATATTTTCCCTGTTCCTACATGCATACACACAGTGCTGGAAGAATGGAAATAAGTCAATTTAATTCTTCAAATAATGTGACCATTTACCAGGTGACAGACTTCAGCTTCTAGGGGCTGTGGGGGGATGTAAAGCCTCATGGCCTCATAATCAAACAAAGGTAGACAGAAACAAGCACAATAAGTATAATGCAAAACAGGCCATGATGATTGGAATACCAACCAAATCGATGGGAAGAGAGAGAAAGCCAGAGAGAAAAGAGAGGTTAATTTCCACTTGGGAGAAGAAGTTCTTAAATAAGAATACTTTTTGTTTTTTTAATATCAAGGTATATATGCTCTCTGTAAAAATTTTGTAAACTAAACAAGGATATAATGACAGAATTTAAAATCACCCATTATCATAGCCTAGAAATAATTGTTGACATTTTGGCTGTATTGTTTTCTAGTCTTTTAAAATGCATTATGTGGGGGCGCCTGGGTGGCTCAGTCGGTTAAGTGTCTGCCTTTGGCTCAGGTCATGATCCCAGGGTCCTGGGATCGAGCCCCGCATTGGGCTCCCCACTCAGCAGGGAGCTTGCTTCTCCCTATCCCTCTGCTGCTCCCCCTGCTTGCACTTTCTCTCTCTCTCTCTGTCAAATAAATAAATAAAATATTAAAATAAAATAAAATGCATTATGTAGAATTTTATAATGTGGGATCATACTGCATATGCAAAATCATATCTGCTTTTTTTCAACTCACATTTAGAATTAGTGCATTTTCCATGCCATTTAAAATTTTAAACAGCTTTATAATAGATGCATGGCTTCCTATTGAATGGAGCTATTCTAATTTATTTAACCAAACCCTATCTGTTGGACTTTTCAAGGTTTTAACTTTTTATTTTTATAAATTATACTGCTTGGACATTTGCATTCATAAAGCTTTGTCAACATTTCCAAATTTGTCCTTAGCAAAAGTTTCTAAAAGTAAAATTGCTGATGTGAAAGGTATGAATGCTTTTCATGTTGTATTGTTAAATTGTGCTCTGGTAAAATCGTAATGATTTAAACTTCCTTCATGATCAACACTCGGTTTCCTTTTTTAATCCTGGTCAATTTGACAAGCCAAAAAAAAAAAAAAAAGGTGTATTTATGTTTTAATTTAATTTGCTTTCCATAGAATTGATGTTCTCTATTAGGCGTGTGCGTATGAAGCGCCAGCAGAACAGTGTGTTTTATTTTAAGGCCTTTGTTTATTTAGTACTTCTGAAAATAAGTCCTAAACATAGATTTAAGAAATGAGAAGGCCCTGGTTAAATTATTAATGTGCCAAGATCAGCACTGGGGGGAAATTAAGAAGATTAAACATTTAAAAACCATTAAAAATATTTTAAAAACAAAATGTAAACCCAACCCTTCTTGTGATAAAAATCTCATTTTTCTAACATATCCCTCAAGTCCTTCCCAAGATGTTCCTGATTACCAGAGGATCCCAGCAGGCTGGCTCAGATTCTGTCCCCTCTCGGGCCCATCCCTGCGTTGACCAACATCTCTGGCCCGCAGCTTCCGACTAAGCATGTCTCCCGACAGAGGTCATGAACCCACAGACATCTGTCTTAGTCACTCCCGCTCACCACAAGCACACACACCTGGTTCCTCAGCTGTGAGCTAGGGAAAGTATGTCATACTCCACTAAGCTGTATCTGTGAGATTCAGTGCAGGCCTGACTTGTTTTTAAACCCAACCAAGCAAAAAAAAAAAAAAAAACACAAAAACACAAAAAACAGTAACTAAAAAGAAGAAGGTCCAGGAGCAATCCATTTTCTGATCATATATTATTGCTCCAAATGAGCTGGTCTTGAACCAGAAGGGGTTCAAGGGGGGGCCTATAGGCTGCTTTTCTTCACTGAATATATGTGAGTGGGAACAGGGCACACATAATTATTACAAGTAATGGCTTTTTATATTTGCTCAGTGTACTTTAAAAAATGTTGCTTGTTGCTATGATGCAGACACATTCAGGCATTGGATGTTGGAAGGTGTTCTGAAAGGATGCTCACGGCAATACACACGTATTCTGCTCTTCCTTGATTCTGAAGATCCCATCAGCTAACACTGCATCTTAAGTACAATCTTTATGCCTTTCTGTGTGGCTTCAAGGAGCCTCTGGTTCATGAGCTTGTTTGTCCTTAAATGTCATACTAGCATTCTTCAATCCAAAAGCAAACTGTAGGATCTTCTGGAGAACATTGACCCAGTAGGCAAAAACCTAATGACATAACACCAGCAGGTCAAGATGTTTTTCCAGGAAATCTTTCACATTATTTCTGTGATAGTGAGGAGGAGCAGCTGAAGAGGGAAGCAGGAAGGCAGGAAACAGCATGGGAAGGAGGAGGAAAAGAAAGGAAGAAGCTCTCACTAGTCAAATGAGTGAACAATGACCTCTCCCGTCAGAAGTACGAGGACATAATTTACGACAAAATATGCCTGCTGACTGAACTGTGATTTATTTGGCTTTTTAGCCTAATAGAATAGTATGTGTCTGTCCCTCTAAAGTAAGGCAAAAAAAAAAAAAAAGTTGGTATCAGGAGCTAAGCGCAACAAGAGAATGGCATTCACTACTTCATTGCTGTGAAGAGAAAGGGTTAACATGGTCAGTGACCCTCCCCACTCATGTGTCATGGCCTCACCCGGTTTTTGAGGTTCACATCAGCATTTCTTTTTAAAAGGAAGGAAACGATTCTCAGGTGTCCTCGCCTACAAGCACAGATCAGGGGAGTGTCTCCATTCAAGCCATCTCGAACGTTGATATAGGCTCTGTCTTCTCTCACCCACTGCCACACTTGACCCAAGTCGTTCTGGTAGGCTGCCTGGCAGACAGGCTGAGACGGGAAACACAAAAGCAGATTTTGCAATATAGGTATAATGGAACCCCCCCCATAAGAGAAAAATCCTCACCCTGTCACTTAAAGCTCAAGTGTTTCCAGATTGCAATAGATTGCTTTGTAGGTGAGATCTTTGGTCTCCATCATGCCTAGGCTTAATCCAAGCCTAAAATCCATGGGGAAGCTCTTGGGATTTCCTAGATTGCCTGGCACACAGACGTGTCCACCGAATGAGGGAAAACATGGAAACAATATTGCGGACTCAGGTCAGGGAGGAAACTGTCTGGCGGGCGGGTGGATAGAAAAGCAGGATTGCACTGAAGACAAAATAGGCATATGGGAGGGATTTAGGGTCGCCCTAGGTGATGAGACAATGATGTATGGCCCCCTGTACTCAAGGAACCTGGTGCAGTGGAAAAGACCTATTTTAGACAAATAACATATAAGTAACAAATGACTTAATTAACTGGATTTGACCCTTTTTATTTCGAAAGTATTCAAAGGAGCTTTGCAAAGCACAATGGCAGCTTACCAGCAAGACCGAAGCCGACCTCCCTATGTCCACTCTGCCCCTCCTTCTGGACCTCTCTTCTGTTTTCAATACCTCATGTTCTGTTCCTTCCATCTGAGCCCCTGCCCTCACTGGTCCCTCTGCACAAACCCTTTTTTCCCCTCTCTGCCCAGCTGGATGCCTGCTGACCCGTCTGTCCTTCGTGCCATCACTGAATTTTTACTTTATCAAGCCTTCCCTGATGCCGGCACTGCTTGGCTGCAACTAGATAACTCTCATCCTTTTCTTAATGGTTTATAATCCGCGTGTCGCAGGCACGGGGAGGGGCTGCACAAGTGAGGGGAGGCGTCCAAGTTCAGGTGGCCAGAGTCCTGTGCGTCGTTCCACTCATCACTGGAATCGATTCGAGTCATATCCCCAGTACTAAGACAGCCTTGGCATATGGTAGGGAGATTCTGAATGTTCTCACACTGACTTTAATTAGAAACTTAAAAGAAAAAAAGGACTTAGAATAATAGCAGGCACAGAGATGGGGCTCAATTTATGGAAAATTATTGTTCCTGCTTATTCGGTCATTCTTTGATTTGGTAACAAAGTCAGACCTCTTCTGGGCACCAGCCGCAGTTGCCAGGGGACAGGGAGGAAGATAATAGACACTACTCTTCACCCCGTGAAATATATTTACCAGTTGGGAATATAGTGCGTACACACACACACACACACACACACACACACACACACACACACTCACCAATGGGAATACAAAGTTAAAGAAGCACAGATTTGGGTTAATAAGCACCAGCCGAGGCAGACCTGAGTGACAAAGCTGAGTGGTACATTTGCTAATCAATTCATGTTCTAACATTGCCAAATACCACAATCAGTGAGCTTCGGAAAGGTGCTTTTAAGCCCAAGGCCCAACTCAGGAAAGAAACATCCTAACGGAAAGTCAGCTCAGTAGCAGATAAGAGGTGAGCTTCTGTACCCCAACAGGAAATGAGCACGATACAGGGGTCCGAAATGCAGTAGAAATGCGTAATTACACAGATCACTTTCCTACTACCCTGAAGTCGTCCCCTGACTAGACCTTGTTGGGCTCAGCCCCGTCCCCGGGCTTTCTGTCTGGCTGACACAGAAGTGAACAGAGCAGTTGAAAGGACGTGTATCTGCTATCAGCAAACTGGCCTGTCGTCGTGGTTCTGCTACTAATTCCCTGGTGACCTTGGACAAGTCTCTTCCTCTCGTGTGTCTCCGTGTCCTTAGTCACAAAACAAAGGAAAAAAGTAAAAATTGTTTTACGTTGTCACACCCGATGACTGTCACACCCTGGACCTCAAGTGTCTCCCCAACCAATGCATCTTCCACATCAACTATAAGATCAAGACATAGTCCTTTCTTTTTTTTTTTTAAGATTTTATTTATTTTAGAGAAAGAGTGTGAGCAGGGAGAGAGGCAAAGGGGAAGGGAGAGGGAGAGAACCTCAAGGAGACTCCATGCTGAGCACAGAGCTCCGTGCGGGGCTCCATCCCATGACCCTGAGATCATGACCTGAGCCCAAATCAAGAGTCGGACACTTGACCAACTGAGCCACCCAGGTGCCCCAGAGGGGTAGTTCTTTTTATGCACAAATACTGCTCAAAAACTTTCATCGAGTCACCCTTATCTTAGTAGGGATGCCCTGTCATTTAAATTTAAATAACAAATAAAATGGAGCTAAATACAACAGGCAATGTTAAGTCACCAACTCTTAATTTTGCCAACTGAATACATGAGAAGCGAAATCAACATTTTGTAAAATAAAAGATACTTTAACATAAATGTACGTGCAAAACAAAACGATTTTAACAAAATATATAAGGATACAATCACAGGAGAGAAAAAAGTCATCCTTTATATTAGATGGATTTAGCTGTATGGAAAAACCTATTTCACTGTCTTTCTTTTTTAATTTCACTGTAAATCAGGGAAAATTTGCCACTAATTACTGCTAATCATTTGTAGGTCTAGCATTTGGGAACTGATAGTCCACCACACAGAACTACATAATTACACAATTGTGAATTGAAAACGGGTGGCTATAGAGTTAATTTTTCTTGTCTGAACATTTTAAATTACAACATTAAAAATACCGGAATAGTTCATGTCGTCGTCGGGCTTTCCAGCGTCTCTTAAAAAGTTAAAAGCTTTGACAACACTGGTGATGCTGGGCCCACATTCCCAGAGGACACCAAATAAGCCCCCTCTGCTTGGGCTCCTCAAAAATCTTTTCAGAGAGTCCACTGAAAGGAGGAAGGGGGAAAGCAGACAGTTTGCCTTCAAGAGACACCGGGTGCCTCTGAGTGCTTTCTTAATCCCACTCGAGTGATCGTACTTAACATATTAACCCGATTTATCTAATGTTTCCTAATCTTCCTATACCCAGGCACAGAGTTCCTGTGTGTGCAAAGTAAAGTGTCCCCCTGGTTCAATTAGACAGACAAGTGGTGGGTCCCAGGAGTTGAGCGAACCCTAGAAAAGGTTCTATGTTGCTGAGAACTCCCAGTGTCCACCAGGGGGCAGCTCAGGGTCACAAAAGCGCTGACAAGGGCAGAAGGAAAGCCAACGGAAAGCTGGGGCCCAGAAAGAGGAAGAGCCTGTCCGCTGCGGTTGAGGGAAGAGTTATTATGAGTTCTGCTGACCTCTGAAGCTTCTGGAACTTGGGGGAACTCTCGGTGAAGAGGAAACCAGTGGAGAACCTGGGGAATTGTAATGATGATTCTATCCCTTAGTACTCTTCTGTCCATCCTCCGTGGCCAAAGTACTAGTTCAGATCTTTGTCATTCTCACCAGGACTGTTGCAGAACTAGCAGGTGACTGGTGTTGCTTCTCCCTGTATTGCCCTTGCAGCCCCAAGGCCACCCGTCAAAAGCAGCAGCTTCGTGTTACTTCCCTGCTGGAAACTTTGGTCACTTGGTGACCAGTTGAGTTAGGTGCTGTCTTTGAGCTGACACAGGATTCTTCAGATCTCACGAATCCTGTCTTTCCAACTTCAACTCTCTCTTTTTTTTTTTTTTAAAGATTTTATTTATTTGTTTGGCAGAGAGAGATACAGCGAGAGAGAGAACACAAGCTGGGGGAGTGGGAGAGGGAGAAGCAGGCTTCCCGCGGAGCAGGGAGCCCGATGCGGGGCTCGATCCCAGGACCCTGGGATCATGACCTGAGCCGAAGGCAGACACTTAATGACTGAGCCACCCAGGCGCCCCTCCAACTTCAACTCTTAACCACTGCCTTATCTGTACCCTTGATCTAAGTAAACAGAGGCATTGGGGCGCCCGAGTGGCTCAGTGAAACATCCAACTCTTGGTTTTGGCTCCGGTTATGATCTCAGGGTTGTGGGTTCAAGCCCCGCGTCAGACATCGCGCTGAGCACGGAATCTGCTTGGGATTCTCTCCCTCTCCCCTTCCCCCCATGTGTGCATGTGCTCTCGCGCACGCTCTCTCTAAAGTAATTGAATAAAATCTTTAAGTAAATAAAGGCGCGAGGGTTACTAACAGCTATCTCCCCTGCTACGCTGAAAGCTACGTGAGGGTGGGTATGGTGTCTGTAGTTCTACATTATATCCCCAGCATCCCGCATACGCCTGACACATAGTTGGCATTCAGTGTTTATTTGGTAAGTGTACGAATAAATTATAATATGAGGTAACTTTTATTGAGTACCTCGGTTAGTTCATTTAACCTTCACACAACCCTCCAAGCTAAATAGTATTATTATACCCATTTTGTATCAGTGAAACTGAGGGAGGTTGTCTTTCTTAACCTATAGTCAGCTCACAACTGGCAGGGCCAGGAATGAAATCCAGGGGAACGACTGTAGCACGCACACACTTTGGCTCTCGTTACAGCAGGCAGTTTGCAAAACAGCCTTCACGATGTCTTTTGGCTACCGGTCTTTGCATTTGAGATCATGTCTGGTTCCACCTACACCCCAGTCAAGCTACAGTCTACACACTCAGGACACTGGTCGGTCCTCTTCTGCCCTGGGCTGCTTCCTGCTTCTGTATTCAGATTCTTCTCCAAGCTGACCTAGCTGTAGCGATATCTGGCAAGAGGTAAAGAAATAGTGGTCGGGGAGGTTGCAGGAGAAACCAGAAAAAGATACGGCCCAGGTGCAAAGAAGGAAGATGGACTTAAGGGTGTGGAGTGTAAGGGGAGATTCTGGATCTGACCATGAAAGACCATCAATGTTCATAGAGCAATGGGCAGAAGGCAGACCACAGGGC